AATTCTCCGAATGTGTGTCAAACGAACTTGAAAAGTTAACAAATCAATCACAACGAAATTGTATTTACATATATGCTCTATGCTGTCTTTCTTTCTCTCTTTGTGTGTGTACAGGTGTCGGTAAAAGTTCTGTGTACGGGTGGAATCCGCCAGTTTGCCATCCTGTCAGCGGAGGAGTGCGACTGTGCGCTCTGTAAGCGGCGACGCTGAGTGACCATCTAGGCTTGGTCTGCGACCGGACGCCATGTTTGGTCTGCGGCGGAAATGCTGTGATGGTGGGCAGCACACTCGGATTATATGGAATTCTGTTCTATATCTATATACATATATATGTATATATAATATGATAATGAGATGAAATTTGATGTTTGATTCTACTTGGCGGTAAAAGTATATAGATTACAATACGACATGTTATAAAACTATGATAAAGGTATGTATAAACGACGGATTACTCTTTGAAACGGTCAGTTTATAGGCGGTATTCAGATTAATGTGAGTGATGCGATATCACGGTTCGACTGTACTGGCCTGAAAGTTGTTGAACGTGCGTGAAGTGCTGTAGTCTTTGATGTCACTACACCGTGTCATGTTCACGGTTCGTGGCGACTTCATGGTTTTCTACTTCTTTCGTTTTTTCGTCACTATAGTGCGCTGATTGTTGTTGTTACTGCCTACGTGTAAAATCGTTGGACGCAGCGAGGTAGGCGGAGAGCGACACGCGTGCCCTCGTGTACAAGATTCTTCCTCGCAATCAGCTACCATTACCAACCTTACAATACCAAATATTATGTTCTAGGGTTAAGAATAAATCATAACGACAGATGTTCAGCACTCAATACCTCACACACATTACAGTAATCTTCTTCTTCCTCTTCTTCGTGCGTTTTTTATTCAGTCGGCACATTTAATTTGTCACCTTATATCATAATATCTACTTCTGTAATATCTGACTGTGTATTTTTTCGTATCTAAAACGTGGTAATTTAGCCGAACCGTTTGCGTTGAGTGAAGCTATAATTGTGCAGAAACTGTGTCCGGTTTCTATTCCTTAGTATTGCAGATTTATTTTCATTAATTTTACCTATTGAACGAGTCACGCAAACCTTGAAATTTGAAATGCAGTCGTAAACATAATATTATTGATCTATTGCCAGCAATTTTCTCTAGTATTTACTTCTCGTAGCATGTTGAGATACTGCATATTTCGTCCACATGCATGTCTAATATACGCTTCCGCCTCTTCATAGCCGATTGCCGGTGTCGTTCGCCGTAGAAAGTACTGTAGCAGTTATCGCGTTATAAGATAATAAGTTTAGTTTTGCAATAGTAATTGTCTGTGAAATAGCAGTCGAAAACTAACGGGTTCTAGTAAAAGCTGGAATTTGCCATGATAGTTATACCTCTAAAATTACACAACTAAAATATAACAGTATTGGCGGTATATTCGTTTGCGCGCGTGTGTGTATGTGCGTGCGTGCTATTTACATTATGAAACGGGCATAGTGCAGCAGAATTAGTGTAATATGAGATCTTTGCCTACGCGGAATAAACCCAGTGAAACTACATCACCTATGATTTCCCATAGGTCACACGGGCGCTGTAGAACTTGTAACGTATACTGTGACGCACAGTGATTATTTAATTAACATACGTAATTGACACGGAATTAACGTGATGACAAATTACATGTACTCATGATATTGTGTCCGTATACAATAAAAAAGAGACTTTTACTTCACGAAATATACCTTGATGCTTTATTGTCATTTATATTGATATTAAGCTATATGTCCATGGCGCGGTGATGGTTACAGCACTGACGAGTAATACTGAGTAGAGCTGATAAGTAAGATTAAATTTGCGTTGTTTTATTTAAAATTTAAGAAATATCAAGTTGTAATTTCAGAAATCATGAAAAGGTTTACAATGTGCAAATTATCTGTATCCATTCATTTCGTCATTATTATGTCCCCCTTCTCCCCCGCCCTCGATAGCTCGCTCTTTAGTTCTCCCCTCTCTCCACTCTTTTTCTCCTTTCTCTATCCCCCGTTCTCTCTTTCTCCTTTCTTTCTTTTTTCCTCTCTCTCTGTCTCACCCCCCCCTTTCTCTCTCTCCCCTTCTCTTTGTACCGCTGTGTGTAAATCCATGTGTCACCCGATGATGGATATTGGTTACATATACCGGGTGTATAATTATGCTTACATGCACATATAAAAAGAGACGATGATTGCACTACATTTATGCGTTGCGCTTGCTATATAACATTACGAAGTCTGTGTACAATTTAGACTGCGGTGAAGGTTTCGGTGCAATCGGAAGGAAATTTTTATTCCATGTGCGCGGATGAAATAGCTGGTTATTAGTTGTGTACTGTCACCGGGGTATTAGTGACGTGATTGCGAAAGACGCGGACCTCTACGTCACTTCCGGTGTTTTTTGCGCGCTGAGATGTACACGTGTGTTAATACCACGCAATCCGTGCATGTCGTTTATGCAGGCCATAATTATTGTGCGTAGCTGATTTACTCTTCATACTGTGTATAAATTTGTTCAGTCTTGTGGTCGCACACAATCGTCTGCCTTCGTTTACGCTTCATGCTTGTTCAGCTGCGTACGGACGTAGGCTACATGTTACACTATATAGTTGCGGCGGTGGAACAGTGGCTCAGTTGATATGTTTGCAGGCGTGGGTTGGCGGTTCCGCTCTATGTTATAGGCGCGTGGGCGACCGCGTGGATTGTTAACGCCACGATGTTACCGGCTTGATTCAATAATTGCAGTCGATAAGTAAGTACCAGCACCAGTGATGAAAGGGGGTGAGAGAGGGGGCGAGGTATTAAACTGCCGACATTGCCGGGTGCAGCCTAATGACAGCGATGAGGAGGGGAAGGGGAGGAGGAGGATAAAGAGGAGGGATAGAGAAGGAGGAGAAGAGAGGAAAGAGGAGGAGGCTGCGGGCTGGGTGAAGCGTGAGATGAGGAGTGTTGAGGGGGAGTACTGGTAACTAATGGAACGAAAGCTTTCTCTACTGCAATCCGCAGCGTTGCGCTGTCACTTCGATCAACAATAGGCTTTCTTTGCGCTGGACTATGAAAAATATTGTATATGAGGCTACGAGGGCATGGTTGGAGTTAGCGCTATAGGTAGCTTTGACTTTAAGCGTGCGGGACGCATGCTCACATCTCGTTTTTACAACCACGAAGACTAGCAGAATGGTCATCTGAGTTATTTTTATTCTAGATCTGTCATATTCTGCATGTATCCAGCGGATTATAGCTCTGTAAAACTGGCGGCTGTATTTGATGGTTCAGATAAGCGTGGCTCTAACGTGCTGGTTGATTTGCTGTTGTTGTCATGGTAATTAAGTGTCTTCACACGTGCCGTAAATATTGATACGGCGGTCCATAATTGCGGTCCATCGAAAAACAATGATCACGACGTAAAAATATTGCATTCAATATCGCGCTTTTTTAGTGTTATAAACGTGAGTTCGAATAAACAGAAATAAAATATCGTACTTCATGGTTTACTTTTAATATTTTACATTATTTATATTAAAATATTGTTAGTGGAGTAGGCGAGGTACGGTCCGGCATATTAGATAGTACCAGGGTACGTTCCGGCAGTACCCTGGGGGACATAGACCCTCTCAGCATTACTCGCCATTAGTAAACTGCCCGTGAAAATCTGAGTAAACAGACCGTCAGATTAAAGCAAGGTGAAGTATGCAAACCCAAGATTTTGTGAATAAAAACACGGGTGTTAGCACCACCGCCACTTTTTGTACATGCTCTTGTGTACAACTGCAGAATCATACATACAATACACAATTCATGAGTAAGCAAGATATCTCAACAATTTTGGCAAAAAATACATGTCAACGTGACGCATCATAACTTATTAATAGAGGAAAGATAAAGTATTTAGTGCAAGGGCATACTTCAAGACTAGAGACTTTTTGGGAAAACTCATTAATTATAAAATTATTGATATATTTATTGATAACGGCTGTAAACGGTTTTCTTATCCCTGCTGCATATTTGGTGATCGTGCATTGTGGAGAATTGTATGTACACACCTATAGATTATTTTCCCATCTATTTTGCAAAATATTATGAACCTGTAGCTCTAGTACTAGAGCTAATGAACCTGCTGCTCTCAGACTGACAATGATTGAAATACGAGAAATAAAAACTTGATAGACTAGTGTAATAACTTTATTATTAAATCTCTTGGAAATGGCTTTGTATAAAAAAAAGCTGTGAAAAAAATTGTAAGGAATGTTATAGCAAATGTTAACATGTCACTTGCGCTACCACTGCCAGGGTCTATGTCTCGCTGAGTACTGCCGGAACGTACCCTGGTACTATCTAATATGCCGGACCGTACCTCTCCACTAGCGAGTCTAGGGAGTCGCCTACGGCTACTCCCTAACCCTAACCCTAACCATATATCAGATAGTCACCAGGGTACGTTCCGGCAGTACCAAGGGAGACATAGACCCTATCAGCGTCACTTGCACAGGATAGGATACAGGATACAGTCATCACCATATGTTCGACTGGAATCGTTGAGGCCATTTAGGGGTAGAAATAAGGAGAAAAAAAGAGTTGGTCCACGGAACCATCTAGTTGGTCCTCCTAAATTTGAGATGGTCCTCCTAAATTTTAGATGGTCCTCCTAAATTTCAAATTGTTCTCTAAAAGTAATGCGGCGTGCAAGAAATTTACCGTAAAATGGGACCAAAATATTCAATGGTCCATCGGACCATGGACTTTGAAAATCTGATGGTCCTCCTGATTATTTGATGGCCCCGGACCATCGGACCATCGCTTATTTCGACCCCTGCCATGGATCGAACGGAAGTTTCCTGATCGGAAACTGATAATACCGCCGAACAATAATCCAACCCAAAACACGTGTTTTGTTTTACTTTTGCCATACGATGGACAGGCAGACTAACACACCGATAGGTAGATGGCCAATTAGATAGATCACTCACACATCCAAACCATCCCATGTCCAAGTTACCGTGTCCAGACGGTTTTGATATCGGATCAGCACTGGCTGCACTGGAACTCCCGGGTAGAACGCACCTTTTGCACGAAAAAGAAATCATTATAATTACCTCCGCCATGGAGGTTATGTTTTCGCCTCTGTTTGTTTGTTTGTTTGTTGGTTTGTTTATCTGTCAACAGGATATCTCAAAAGGTTACGGACGGATTTTGATGAATTTTTGGGATGGGTTGGTCTTGGCCCAACAACCAATCGATTAGATTTTGGTGGTGATCCGGATCCAGATCTGGATCCAGGATTTTTTTGTGGGGAAGACTTCGGATGCATTCAAAATTCATGAAAAAAACTGGATCTTTTTTTTCAAATTTCTGAAAATTTCATCAAACTATATTTGGTGTACCAGCAAAATGGGGCAGGGACTGTTATGCTGTGGCGGAGGTTTGCTATCTCCGATTGCTCTTGTTATCGCTTGCGACCGCTTGCGTGATGCGCACGTCTGCTCTCTGTAATGGCACGATGGGCGATTGTTAAAAGTGACATCTGAGAGAAATACTGCGAACGTATCTTGGTTGCTATTGTCCCCCGTGAATATTTACACGAACACCAAACACGCAAAACATCCGCAGTCACGCGAATGTACCCCGAGCCCCACGGATACGTTGCACCCAGAGACACTGGTATATTAGTCGTGTAAAAAAAAGTACGTTTATTTGTATTTTTTATTTTTTTTTAGAAGTTCTTTATGTAAGTAATTTTTTTATGTATGTAATTTTATGTAAGTTATTTTTTTAGTAGTTCTTTATGTAGTTCTTTATGAAGTTCTTATGGTAGAAGTTATTTCCACGGTTGCACCAGATGCAGTCTAGTCTAGACGCGCTTCCTCCATGCTTTTACGCTGCATGCGTGCACACCTGGTTTGAATGATATGAGGCAGCTCCTGTTCGTGCACGTTCCTTCCGGGAAGATGGCAATCTGTGGCCACTTCCCGTCGGACGTGGCCCGCCTGCGGATCTCCTTGATCGTGCTGACGCGCGAATTCGAATCGTCGCGCGACACGAACACCGGCTGCGTGACCTCGATCAACGCTGCCGGAAAAAAGAAACAAGAGGGCGTTAACGGACGATGCTGCGTCGCTGCAGCAACGCGTTGCGATCATCGACACGAACCGGCGACGATGTAGCGGTGTTGCGGGAGCGCATGCAATTGACCTATCTGCCCGGAGTGATCGACGAGTGGGCCGAGCCAATCAGCGTCGCGATGCCGCACTCTAATAATGCTGCTCAACGACAAAGCATTGTGAAGTTTGGAAAGGTTGAAAATTTTAGCGTGCATGAGCGGAGAACACATACACACTGATCTAGCTTGATGCCCCTAGCAGCAACAACCTCCGGGAGAGGGGGGCGTGGTTGGCTTTCACAGACGGATAAGTCAATTGTATACGGTCTTTGACAGTGCTATGTTGAGGTTGAGCGTAGAGTTATAGCACAGAGCGTGTTGTTACAGAGCTGTTATTAGACCAGTGTTACGTCTCACTTAATCCAGAATTACCAGAGCATGTCATTGCAGCAGTGCACATATCGTTACAGCAGTGAGCATATCATTACACAAAGAGCATATTGATCATTACAGGCTTATATCATTACAGCATTATATCGTTACAGCAGTAAGCATATCGTTACATTAGTGAGCATATCGTTACAGTATTATATCATTACAGCTTTATATCATTACAGCATTATATCGTTACAGCAGTGAGCATATCGTTACATTAGTGAGCATATCGTTACAGTATTATATCGTTACAGCTTTATATCATCACAGCAGTGAGCATATCATTACAGCAGTGAGCATATCGTTACATTAGTGAGCATATTGTTACACTATTATATCATTACAGCATTATATCGTTACAGCAGTGAGCATATCGTTACAGAATTATATCATTACAGCAGTGAGCATATATCATTACGTGTGTGCAACATACGTTACAGAGTGATAAGGTCGTTACAGTGCACGTGATCGTCAGTGTGTTAACAGCTATGAGAATACTGCTACACCGCTTGTTATTAAAAAACACCCACCATTAAAGCATTCCTTATAGGCAGCGCTGTTAAAAAAGCAGGCTTATACAGTGCGCTGCTAGGAATTTCATTACTGCAAGTGCCTATTATAAAATTTAATCGTCATTCACAGTATCACGCAGGCATTACCGTTAATTATTAGACCAATTTAATGTTATTAACCGGAAATGCATCAATAAGTTTGTCATACAAACGCTCCCTCTGGATGTTTTAAAGATTTGAGCAAGACCTTTAGCCCCCATTGAAGTTCTTTTTTAGCCACCCAATGAAAAGGCTATTCTTCTGGCGTGTGCATCATTGAGTACAACGACAACATTACGCCACCGAAGCGTAGTCGAATTGAAGACTGGCTTGCAGGCATTCTGTTACTATATTATAATAGATTATACGTTAACCGTAGGTGATAAAATGTCTATGCGCGCCACTACCAGTGGGTGGTCCTACCTGTTGACATTAACTGATATACGATGCATCTCACGTAATATATAATATATTATATATAATATATATATATATATATATATATATAGCCATTCCCTCTAAATGTGTGGTGCAATTGAACATCGTGCCAGTAGCATAGGATACATAGCAAACATGTGGGTTTGTATGTATATATGGCCAGTATCACGTAAGTAGCACATCCTGGACATCTGTGTTCATGAAGATTGTTGTGTGTGTGTGTGTGTGTTAACAGTAGGACTGAGAGGGTCTATGTCCCCCCAGGGTTACATCTCGAGCCAGGGGGGCGATGATCCAGAGCTTCGAGGCCTAGACAGTATTTTTCCAGATTTTTAAGGGCACATCCCCCAAAAAAAGGATGAGCACACCGCACCACCCGACCCACGTAAGCGCCGGTTAGCGCGCGAAGGCACATGCGGGGTCTGGGGCCCCTCCCCATAAACATTTTAAAATTTCAAGGGTCCTGGCACAAAAATGAAGCACCATTTGAGCCACACATTTAGTCAAGAAACAATAGCTAAAAACCAATGAATTTTATTTTCTGCTTCATTTTGCCTGCGCTTTGCATAACCAGCAATTAATGCAGAATATATTTCACCCCCTCTCTCCCCCCTCTTCTCCGCCTGTCCCGTCCCCCTCCCCCCGTGGCCCAAGCTTTCCCTCTTTTCAGATATCAAAAGCTAGTCTTGTTACC